TTTGCAGATGACATCAATCAGATATTAATGTCATGACTTCTTAATGTACCTATGACTATGATGCATTATGGATGAACCATTGATTCCTAATGGCCAGTTAATGTACTGCATGTAACCAGGCTGTGGTTCCTGCCATGATAGATGGATAATAACACTATCTCTCTCTCTCTCTCTCTCTCTCTCTCTCTCTCTCTCTCTCATAGAGAAACAAAACTAACACCAACATAGATGAATAAATCAAACTGTATCTGAACCAGGCTAACTTCATGACATGTTGCTGTACCAGAGTCACTTAGAGACTGATCTGCTGCCCCCAAGTGGCTGAACCGTAAGGATATATGATTTGAGCTAAACCAAATATGTCAATGTTTAAATGTTTAAAAATGGAATATGTTAATGATAATGATTAATATGCATAATATCAACAAATATACAACATTTTAGTTTTAGTTATAATTAACACATTTGTACTGGTAATACATTTTAGGTATAATTATAATAAATACTGTATAGTATTTAAGGACAACAGTCAGCACCAAACAAAAATCTCACAGAAAGTATATGTAACGAAATATATAATAATATTCTTGTTTAAACTGACTGAATATGTACTTCCTGTTTACTTGAAGACAACATTAATATACTGGCAGGAATTGAAGAAAGACACAAAAAGACCTGCAATAGCTCTGATTATTATTATTTATTTTTTAGTTTTCATAGTCATCTGCTGCCACCTAGCGAAGAGTATTTCACTGTTCTGCCTGTCACGCATTGACGAAGAAAGATAAAAAAATGATTTGCAATAAATAAATAAATAATAATTTTCGGACCAATTAATTGGAATTTGATCATTTTCCACAGCACACCTAATGATCTCTGACGTCACACTAGAAGAAATAGTAGCAGAATGACGATACTACACCGTTGTATTTGTGTGCGGTAACCTTAGGTCTACGACAGCACCTCGGTGTGTGTGTGTGTGTGTGTGTGTTCGTGTGGAAAATGTATCAAACAACCTGCACGTGTGTCGTTTCCCTCTTTGCCCAGTAGGTGGGACTTGAGTCTTTTTGTCTCACTTGGCCTCCCAGCGATTTTCTGAGTCTCTCCGCCATTCTCACAGCCACGGCAGCCTGTGGAAGCAACAGCATGAGTGAGTGAGTGAGTGAGTGAGTGAGACACAGAGAGAGAGAGAGAGGGGGAGGGGGAAAAAAGACAGGAGGACCAGACTACATGCGTCCAGACCCCTTCACGCCACTAACGTGGAATCTTTTCTGGATATTTTCCCCCCCGCGTTATTCCATCCTTCACCGTTGCCGTTTTTTTTTCTTTTCTTGAATGAATCGGAGAAGAACGTGACTGGCATCACCAAAATCTCTGACATGCCCATTCTCACGCACAGTCACGCGAATGGATCCGCACGGGCATGAGGGGAGATGCGTTCGCTTTATTTTAACGTCCACTCCAAACTGAGAGAAATAAGGTGAGGAGGAGGAGGAGGAGGAATATCAGCTCACATCCAGCCGTGAGCAGGAAGAAGGAGGATTCATCCGAATCTTCAATTAAAAAAAAAACAAAACACCCAACTGTTCTTACTGTTATTCTTTGCCAGGAAGTTGATAGACATCTGGGATCGTGACAGCATGGATGGATCTTGTGCGCTATTTGGCGCATTCGGCGCGCACCGCGCTCCCAGGACACGGTGGTGGTGGAGCTGTAAGGTGTTCTTTTTGCTCACACTTTGCTTTCACAACTACCTGAGCTCCCTGCTGGACTGTCCGCCCACCTGCACCTGCTCCACCACGGAGATCTACTGCAATAAGTCCGACGGAAGCAAATTCTTCCCGCTGCTCTCCTTCCAGGGCACCGGGGGCGCAGGGAACAGCACGGGGGGCATCGAGGACCTTTTTCAGAACATCACCTCCATGTAAGTGCTGTACCCGTCACCCCCCCCCGCCCCCCCC